GGGGTGGAGTGGGGGTGCAGGAGGGGAGGGGTGAAGCGGGGGTGCAGGAGGGGAGGGGTGGAGCGGGGGGTGCAGGAGGGGAGGGGTGGAGCGGGGGGTGCAGGAGGGGAGGGTGGAGTGGGGGTGCAGTGCTTGTGTGTGCACTGCTATGCACCTGGAGGTCAGATAGCAACTCTGGAGCTGTTCCCTCCCTCCACCATGTAGGCTCCAGGCCTGCAAGGCCAACCCTTGTCTGCTCAGCCATCTCAGCAGCCCCGCCCCGTGCCTGGTTTGGCTTTCAACACTGCAGTCTAGACTTCATCACCATCCCTCCAAACCAGACCCGGCTTGCCCGTGCAAGCCATCCTCACATCTCTTCCTTCTGCGTTTTGTTCTCATGCTTATTGACGTCAGGGTCACTGGTCAGGGCCTTCGGAGTGTCCTGCATCTCGGCCGGCAGAGGCGTCTGTTTTCTTTCCTAGGTAACAGATCATGGCATCAGGCAGTGACCACAGCTGACGTTCAAGGGAGACTTTCTTTTTAAAGTGACCTTACCTCCGAATCCAACTATTTGCAGTTTATGAAATTTAATGACTTCTTTGTCACGCTGCCACTAAAAAGAAATTTCTCTTGTAAATGCAAGTGCCAATGTAGCCAATATTTATATTGGCTAAGTGTCTGAGGCAAACCACAGAGGGTGGGCGGGGCAAGGGGCAGCTGTAACCCAGGAAAGCACCCTTTATGACACCAGCCTCACATATGGACACCACTGCCTCTTAGAACCTTGTCTCCATGGTGGCAGAGCTTCTGGCTCTGAGCAGTGCACTCTTGGCACACCTGCCCTGAAGTTTGTGCACCTAAAGTAATGTAACAGACACTGAAATGTTTAATGTCCTGCTATGGGTTGAGAACCTAGGTCAGTATATAAATATTGGAGAGAATCTAGTACAACTTTGGTCCGTTCTCCTGCTACCCCCTTCTCTTCTTTCTCCCTCCTTCTGACAAAGACTCAAAGACTTAGACAGACAGAAAACATCTGGGACAGAAATAGAAACCATGTAATTCTATGGCACAAAGCAGTCTGTTGGTGGGGATAACCATGGCCAGGGAACAACCAAAATCCTTCTGGTTACGCCAAGATCACAAGTAAG